AAGTTACTTGTAAAAAGAAAAAATATTGTTAGAAATTTCCTTAAAATTGTCAGTGATAACACACATATGCAAATCAAAGCAGAAATAGTTTCCTGATGGCTGGGGATTTAGCTCAGTGGTGCCCTTGCCTTGCAAATGAAAAGTCCTGAGTTCAATCCCCTGTATCAAAAAAAGAAAAGAAAAAAAAATTAGTTTCTGTTTATAGCTGCAACAAATGACCACAAATTTAGTGATAACTTTTGATCAGGTCTGGCCACAAAAATTACAGAAAACTCCTGTACTTGCACTGTGGAAGATGAACATGATACCCAGTAAGCAGAGAGAAATATTACCTGGTATGTGACCTTACATGCAGTTACAGGATAGTAGTCTCAGTGCACAACACTAATTGAAGAATATACAAATCTCCAATATTCACTCCAGATTCTGAATGTGACTTACCTGTAACATAAGCAATATACTTCATCTAATATTGTGCAAGTATCCTTTGAGATTGCATGGTCCTATATTCTGATGATTGGCAATTTGGTATTGGAGAAATAAGAAAATAAATGAAAATTAGTTTTGACTTTATTTATATATCTTCAGCTTATTATTTTTAGAGAGAAATGAAATTCTCTTCATATATTTGCATTAATTTTGATTGTGTGTTTGCTAATTACAAAAAATCTAAGGAGAAACATATAAATAAATTCATATGTGATACTTATATCTATGTGTTGTGTATAAACAAATACTACCTGTACATATAGCTATCATTCTGTTATTATACATATATGCAACAGGACAGAAATAATGACAATAAAACAGTAATATAAACAGAATAAAACAAAGAGATTGTTCCTTGAACATATAAATAATACTGAAAACCCCTTAACCAAACTAATAGAAAAGACCCAAATTAAAATCATAGATGAAAAAAATGATATTAAGGTAGATACTACTGAAATCCAGAGGATTATTAGTAGCTGTTATGAAAACTTATTTTCCTTCAAGCTGGAAAATCAAGAAGAAATGAATACATTTCTAGACATACATGAACTACCAAAATTGAAAAAAAGCGGATATAAAATCTTAACAAATTGGTAATAAGCAATGAGATTGAACTGGTAATAAAATCCACCCCCCAAAAGAGAAACCAGTGACTGCATGGATTTACTAGTGAATTTTAACAGACCTTTACAGAAGAACTAGTACTGATGCTTTTTCAACTATACTGAGAAATAGAAATGGAAGGAAAAAAAGGTTCCAAATTAATTCTCCAAAGGTAGTATCCCACTGATACCAAAATCAGATTAAGATCCAAAAAGGAAATTATAGATCCATATCCTTATTAACACAGATACAAAAATCATTCATAAGATTCTTACAAATAAAATGTAGCACATCAAAATCACACACCGTGATCAAGGTTTCATCACAGGGACATAAGGATGATTCAACATATGTAAACCCATAAATGTAATATATTCTGCAATTTTAGACTCGAGGATTTTTTAAATCACTTGATCATGTCAATAGATGCAGAAAAAAATACTGATAAAACTCAACACATTTCATTATAAAATTCCTGAAGAAAATAAATGCAGAAGGATCCTTTCTGATTATAATTGAGGCTATATATGAAAAATCCACAACCAACATTACACTGAATGGAGAAAAACAAAGTATTTCCTCTAAAATCAGGAGTAAAACAAAGCTTTTCACTCTCATCGTTTCTGCTCCATATAGTACTTGAAGTTCTACCCAGTGCAGTAAACAAAAGAAAAAAATAAAAAGGATACAAATAGGAAAACAAGTCAAATTTTCTTTATTTGTTGGCAATATGACCCTTAATTAGAAGACAAAAAAAACCTTATCAGAGAATTTTATTTATTTATTTGTTTGTTTGTTTATTTTTGGAGGCAGGGTCTCACTACGTAGTTGAGACTGACCTGAAATGCACTATGTAGCCCAGGCTGGTCTCTAACTCACAGCGATCCTCCTGCCTCAGCCTCCTGAGTGCCGTGATTACAGGCATGTATCACCATGCCCAGCCAGAAGAATTTTAGATATGATAAATTCAACAAACTTGTAACACACAATATCAACACACAAAAGTCAGTAGTTTTTCTAAACACCAATGAGGCACCCACTGAGAAAAATAAATCAGAAAAATAATTTCATTCAAATATTTTTAAGAAATGAAATATGAATAATCCTAATCCAGGGGAGTGAAAGAATTCTATGATGTAAAGTACAAAACCAGGAAGAAAAAAATTGAAGGAGATATCGGAGATGGAAAGGTCTCTCAGGTTTATAAATCAGAAGAATTAACTGTTAAAATAGACACATTACAGAAAGGGAACTACAGATACATTGAAATCCGCATTAAAATTCAAATGACATTCTTCACTTTACCAGAAAATGCATTGCTAAAATTTATATGGAATGACACCAAATAACTTGAACAGCTAAAGCAATCTTGAGCATAAAGGGCAGTGCTGGAGACATCACAACATCCAATTTTTAAATTGCACTACAAAACTACAGTTAACAAAAACAACATACCAAGGGCCCAAAAATAGATGTATACACCAATGAAATAGCACCGAGGACTTCGAAACAATGCCACACAACCACAGTCAACTGGCTCTTCACCAAAAAGAGACATGCCTTGAAATACAGATAGTTTCTTTAACAGCCATTCCTAAGATATATAGAATACTGAAACTAGATTCCTTTCTCTTACCTTGTATAAAAATCAATTCAGAGCAGACCAAAGACTAAGGTACGAGCCTGAAACATTTAAACTGAAAAGAAGAAAAGGACTAGCAGGTAAGTCCTACGCACAGGCAAAGACTTCTTCATTAGGAAACATCAAAATTTACAATTGGAACTACATCAAATCAAAAAGCTTTTGCACAATGAAAGAAACATTTAACAAAGTGAAGAGATAGGCTACCAAATGAGAGACGTCTTTGCCAGCTACTCCTCCAACAAAATATTCATGTCCAGAGTATATAAAGAAGTCAAAACAAAACACAACACAAAAACGTCTAATTAGTAAATAAGCAAAATGATTGAACAGACACTTCTGAAAAAAATACACATGGCCAATAAGTATAAAATAAACGGTTCAACATCTCTTTCCATGTGGCAAATGAAAATCAAAATTATACTGAGATTCCCTCCTACCCGTCAGAATGGCTATCATCAAAAAAGAGTTAATTGTAATTGTACGATTGCATAATTGTAAATTGTATAATTGATTATGTGAAATAGGCAGAAAAGTTGTGAATTAGGAATAGGAGAAGTGGGAAGGGTAGGGGAAAGGAAAGAAGGGAAAAGGAAAAATATGAGGAAAGGAAAAAATGAAAAAAAATCTTTATAAATAGAGAAGGGTGGAGGGGGTAGAGGGAGGGCAGGGGTATGGGGAAAAATGAGAACCAAGATATATCATGTAAACGTGCAATATCCCAATGATGAATGTAACTGTATTGTAAGCCTAAAATGTACTAATAAACTTAATTGGAAAATAAATGAATAGGCAAATTTTTGCTATATATATATTTTTAAAAGTGTTAAGTATTGATGAAGATGCAGGAAAATGTACTCTTCCACACTATTAAGGAGAATATAGTTTAATAGAGCCTTTATGGAAATCAGTATGGAGATGCCTTGAAAAATGAAAAATAGAGCTACTGTTTGATCCAGGAAGGCCACTCACTGATATAGTCTCAAAGACTTAAAATCAGCATATTATAGAAATATTTTCATAACCATGTTTATTGCAGCATAAATTCACACTTATGAAAATGATCCAAATGCCTATTAGCAGATGAATGATTAAAGAAAATTTATATATGCACAATGGAATACTATTCAGTTACACAAAAGAGTAAAATTATATTGTTTTCAAAAATGGAAGGAATTAAATGTTATTATGTTAAGTGAAATAAGTCAGACTCAGAAGTCAAAGACTGCATTTTTCTCACATGAGCAATCCAGAAAAAATTAATGTAAAAATAATGATGATGTAAAAATATGAAAAACTATTAGAGAAGAGGAAGAGGATCTAGGGAGGGAGGAGGAAAAGGAAGAGGGTTAATGAGGGCGATGACCAATGAATATTATACACGTGCATGGATATGAAAAAACATAACTCACTGCTCTATATAACTAATATATACTAGTAAAAATGAACTTGGTTGAAATCACTGACTCCTGTTCTAAAGTTTCCTGTAAAATGTTTCACTAGGAAATTACATTCAACAAATCATCATAAGGGATTATGAAAATTAACAGTTGATTTTATTTTTCTAAAATTATTAATTTCATAGGACTTTCTGCACTAAATATGAGAAAATGAGTCTTCTTTGTAATTCGTTATGTACGATAATTTTTATAACGCAAATGTCTTAAAAGATAATTTCATGAAATATATTTTTATGCTGCTGTATATCTACTGAAAGAAATTATTTTAGAAAATGAATGTGAAGGTGGAAATATTTTACTCCACCTCTAATAACAGTCCAACATTCTACTCTGACAAAATAAGAGAGTAAAATTTAAATGGAACAGCGGAATATAAACATGATACTCTGGGGTTTTCTGGGGTCTTTTCTTTGAAGGCATATATGTGTCCAAAGCATACTCATTGAAGACTCATGAAAAACCTTCTAACTAAAAGGTATTGAGTAAAGACTGTAGGGTATGTAAAGCTTTCAGGAATATCAGTGGTTCGTGTTATAATCCTGATAAATTTATGACTTTATTTCTTACAGTAGTTTTGGGTTCACAGCAAAAATAAGAGAAAATATAAATATTTTCATATATGCTCTGACCCTACATATGAACTACCTCTTCCTATTTACATACATGTTTTACCAGTGTTGTTATAACTGATAAACATACACTGATGCTGTGACTCTTTGAAAATCCTTTAAACCAGACACACTCTCTCTCTCTCTCTCTCTCTCTCTCTCTCTCTCTCTCTCTCTCTCTCTCTTTCCTCTCAGGATTACAGAGTGAATATTTTTCTTCGCCAGAAATGGAATGATCCCCGTCTCGCATATAGTGAATACCCTGATGATTCTCTAGATCTCGACCCATCCATGTTAGACTCCATTTGGAAACCTGATTTGTTCTTTGCCAATGAAAAAGGTGCCAATTTTCATGAAGTTACTACAGACAATAAACTGCTAAGAATTTTCAAAAATGGAAATGTTCTTTACTCAATAAGGTAAGTCACACTTAAAATCTTAATTTCAGAGAAACAGTAGTGTGAGGGTTTTTGTTGTTGTTTTATTTTTAATCATTATTTTATTTGAATTCTTTTAATAAACCATTTTCCATATATGCCTGAGCAGTAGTAACAGTCTCAATTCCCAGATCCAGAAAGTAAATGAGGAATTCTTGGAAACATACTTTGTAAACAAATGACCTGTGTGATTCTTGGCATCAGTCAGGTTGGAAGAAGCCTCAAAGGAAAATTGAAAGGGAGCTGAGTCATATGTGGAGTTAAAATTTTCATATATATATATATATATAGATAGATAGATATAGATATAGATATAGATATATATAGATATATATATATATTGCTTCCTTTAAGCATTTATAGGTGAAGAAATGTTTAGGCTGACTTGTCTGAGATCCATTTTATTTAAATTATTTTCCACGTATGTGCATTATTTTAGATATCCTGGAGTTTCTATGATTAACTTTTTGCCTTTTTTACCCTAATATACAATTTTCATCCTTTCTAACATGCTGAAAAGTGATGATATTTTGATAAAGTTTAAAGTAAACTGGAACAATTTTTAAAAATCACTGTAGTTTGCAGGGATTTAGCTCAGTGGTTCCGGCACCTGCTTCCCAAGTGCAAGGTCCTGAGTTCGATCCCTGGTACCAAAAATCACTGTAGTTTATAAAAATGGATCACAATCAAAATGTTTATCACAACCCCTAGAAAATATCTTATTTATATATTAGTTATCCATTATGCATTTCTGAGGAGGCCATGCAATATTTTAGAAAGGGATACAGAAATACAACAGAAACTAATGCCAGAATATAAATATTAATCCTGAAATTTCTTGACAGTGCACTTTAGAACTTATTCATCTCTGGCAGTTCACTAAATGTCAAATAGGTATAGATTCAATGAGTAGCTAAAATAACTACTTATAGAACTATGCTTATTTGTGAACAGATGAAAAATCTGAAGTGATTCTAGTAAATATCTTCAACGGTTACTTTTGCAAAATTTGGTTCAACTGTAAAAAACCAAGAAGTCAGTAGCAGAATTTGTGTCATCTTTCTTAGAACACACAGAACATGCTCTATTTACAACAAAAGGCAACTTTTTAAATATTTATATCACCAGTAACATGTTTTAAAAGCCTTCAATGTAGGATTAATATTTAGGCTGCAGACTTAAAATTAACTTGTGTTTTATTTTTCTTTCTCTTTTGTTAACTTTTCTTCTTATCTGGAGTGTGTATATTTGCTGTTGAAATTATTTGCCTAATATCAAAGATGTTTCTATTTTGCCAAGTGATAGTATAAAACAAATTAGTGACAATGAAAATTTAATGTTAACACTAGTTACTTTGAGAAGTTCCTTTTGCAAATTGTTTTTATAAATAATGTTTTATTCTCTGTCTTATTTCTATCTCTTCATTTCAACATAGCATGCCAGCATTTTAGTTTTCATATTTCACGTGAACATGTTTGTTTACTTTTAATATACTTACTGTTTCCTACCAGTGACAGGATGATCTCACTCTTTAGTGAACTGATATTTTAATCAGATTTCTGAAAGTCAACTAATTTGTATTAATATAATCTTGTGTGAGTAATTGGCAACATAAAGGAGATTTCAGGTCCCACCACTTATGAAGAACTGTATCTTATACACATGAATAAATTAAGCGTGATACTTGAGTTTAAGCAACAGAATATTAAAGCCTTTTGAAAAATTGACAAAAAATAAGTACCAAGGTGAGAATGAGGCTTCTGGGAAGGTAGAGAAGATACATATGTTCATATTTTACCTGAGTAAAACTAAAATTCATGGACATAGAGCCTAGGACAACTCTTAAACCTGAACAGGGAAAGGGCTGGCTAAAGATTGCCAAGAATCTGAGGAACAATACAGAGGTAAATTCCTAGTATTTTCTTTTTGCCTCATATATTCCAGAATCCGACAGCCTGAAGAAATCAGTAAGTCCAGAGAAAATAAAATGTCGAAGGAAAAGTCTTATTTCTCTAGAAAATCTAACACTGTGATAGGAAAATGGCAACTTAGCAAGATAGAAAACCTTTAAATAGTTGCTCTATTTCAGCTAAATACTGCTGGACAAAAATGTGATCCCCAAGGCAATTTCACACCCAAGCCATCAAAGCTCAAGTGGGAAGCCCAGGCTTCCAGTCTTGATGAGCTGTGACAAGGTAGCCAACACCTATGCAGCGGTGTTGTCACGGACAGGGGTGTGCACTTTCATTCCCACAAGGTTCTAGTGAGCCTTCCTTCCTCTGCAGTGTCGGTAGACCTCTGGAAATCCAGTCTCCCCCTACAGAAATGAGGTACTTCCTCCTTCCATTTCTGATAGTTTCAGTGTTGTCTGGTGGAGAGTCGAGACTTCCAAACCATCCAGCAGTAGTAATAAGATCTCTCCCTCCCCAGTGTCAGTGGAGACCATTAGGCAGCGGGCCACATCCTAGGTTACTAGGAGCCTTTGCTCACGTGTAAATTCCAAAGCTGACCAGGAGACTTTGATTTCTTCTACCTAGAGGTAGCAAGGTACACTCCTCCCTTGTCCTGATGGAGCAAGGTTAGAAAAATCTAATTAAAATAGAAAGTTTAGATAAGATTCAGAGTTTAAGTGTGCCAGGAATTTAGTTCAGTGACACAGCACCGCTTCACAAGTGCAAGGTCCTGAGTTCAATCCCCAGTACTGGGAAAAACAAACAAAGAAAGAAAGATTCAGAATTTAAGAAAATAATACAAAAAATATCTGGGCTTCTGTGAAAAAGAACTGAAGGTCTCAAACTGACAAAAGACAACCAATGGATGCTAACATGAAAATGACAAAGACACTAAAATATGATAATAACTTCAAAGTTAGCCATGATAAAAAGGTTTCAACAAGTACTTACATATATGCTTGCTACAAATAAAAAATTGGGAAACTTCAGTAAAGAAATAGAAGCAATATAGTCAAAACAAATGAAAGTTTTAGAACTTAAAAATGCAATATTTAAAAGACAAACTCAGTGGATGGGCTCTGAATAATAGAGAATTCACAGAAAAAAATGAGTGATCCAGAATGCAGTCTCAACAACAGAGAAATAACAGACTGAGCCAAAGGGGACACAGTTTCAGGGACCTATGACAATATAACAAAAGCTGCAACATTTGTTTCATCAGATCTCAGGCAAGGAGAGAAAGGGGGATGGATAAAAAGAGAGAGAAAGGAAGGAGGGAAAGGTTGAGGAAGGGAAGGAAGGAATAAACAAAGGAAGGAAGAGAAAAGAAGGGAGAGAGCAATGAAATTGTAGGAAATAATGTCTGAAATTTGTGTAAGTTTTACAAACAGCATAAACTTGCAGATTCAAGAAGCTGAATTCACAAACAGGACAACCCAAAGATGTCAAAAGCAAGACAATGCATAAGCTTCAGGAAACTAAACATTTCTAAAACCACCCAAAGAATGGCATTTTACTTACAGAGGAAAAGCAATTGTCATCTGACTTTTCATCAGAAACCATGGGAATCACATACTTTTCAGAAATTATGGAGGTCAAAACCAAATAAGACAGTTTCCAGGTGCTTAGAAAAAGGAATTGTCATCCTAGAATCTTGTACAGAGTAAAAATATCCTACAAGAATGAAAGAAAGCTGAAGACATTCTTCAATAAAGCCAAACTACGAGAATTTATCACACAGAAACGTACTCTGAAAGTATGGCTAAAAATGTTTTTGCTAAATAGAAAGAAAATGATAAAAGAAGAAACAGATATCAAGAAAAAAAAGGAATACAAGAATAATGTGGATGTAAACAATATGTTTTTATTTTCATCTTGAGGTTTTTACATTATACTTGACAACCGAAGCAAAAATCAAAACACTGGCATGCGAGAAATTAAAGTAACAAATAATAAACTATTATTATAAATACACTGACAAAACATGACTAGTTAATATTTAGTATTGCGTATTATATATTTTGTTAGCATATGACTTTGTATAAACTGGAAAAATGATCTGTTAAGGGATAGTTTAAGAGAAGTATTTTATTATTTGTATTTAAAACACTTATATGTATACCTGTATACATAAAAATTCATGTGCAGTCATGCCTCACATGATGACATTTTTATCAATGATAGGCCATATTTTATGATAGTGATCCCATAAGATAATGAAACTGAATTTTCATTGCCAGTGGCCTGGTAGTTATTATAAGGTTATAACAAAATACACTGCTCACACAAATGTGGAGACACTGGTGTAAATAAACCTACTGCACTAACAATTGTATAAAAGTATAGCACATAGAACTACTTGTGTATAGCAGCTGTGTGTGTGCATGTGTGTGTATGTTAGATAATGGGTATTTGTCTATAAATCTTATTGATGTTCGAAAAAGTCAACATGAGGACTGCACTGGTAAGATTTTAAACATGATACAATACAAAAACTAAAGGACTTTGTGCGGAGTTCATGTCAACAATATATCTTCAAAACTCAAAGCAACTGACTCAGTCCTTCTTAAATATCTGTGAAAAAAATGAATCTTTTAATTAAGGAGATTGTGTAAAGATTATCACTTTCCTGAAACTAATTTCTCTGATTCAAATGCTTTATATTAATGATTATGAAAGATTATTTATTACATTGAAAGTTAAATAATTTCTCTGTGATTAGTGAAGACTTGTTACTATGTCCCTTGGAAATGTTCAAGTGTCTTCTGCTTTGAAACAGAGGAATAAAATTCAATTTATACCTTGTCTAAATTATGTTATCCATTATGAGTAGCTCATATTTCTTCCAATATTTGGGGGAAGCTATAGAAAAATTCAGAAATGCATCTTTTCTTTTTCAGTATGAATTCAGATGAAACAGATGGTTTCTCCTCTAGATTTTGCTATTCCCTGGCTCACATGATCAAAGAAAAAAATCAGTTTTTATAAGTTGTTTTTGGAAATCTCACAGGGCTTTGAAATCTTCAAATG